ATGGCATGGCATGGCATGGCATGGCATGGCATGGCATGGGATGGGATGCGGTGCGATGGGATGGCATGGAATGGCATGGCATGGCATGGGATGTCATGGGATGGCATGGGATGGCATGAGATGGGATGGGATGGGAAGGGATATGGGATGGGATGCGCTGCGATGGGATGGGATGGGATGGGATGGCATGGAATGGGATGGATGGATGAATGCGTGGATGAATGCATGGATAGATAGATAGTTGGATTTTTTTGTGTATTTTCTTTTTAACCAAGCGGTCACTGATTTCCCCGGGCAACGCCGGGTATCGCACCAGTACTATATGAAAACTTTATATCACCGAGTCATTTTGAGGATTTTTCTACTCGCCAAATTTCTTATTCAGAGTTCAGTTCGTGTAAATTATAAAATCCAGTCATCGCTCATGATAGCATTATCGCACCTGTCATTTTACGTTGACTCACCCTATAAACTCATGTCTACCTGCCATCCCGCGACCCCGGCTCGGTCACGTAGCCCCAACTGCTGACTATTCTTATCAAGCAAGCAAACGTCTTCTGCATTTACGACTAAAACAATCAGCTGCAATAATCTGCTTATAGCGTGTGCGTATGCGCGCGTCCCCTATGCTTTCTTCTTGCTTGCTTCTTTAAACGCACGTACGCGTGCGTGTATCGGCGTGTGCGTGTGTGCATGCGTGCGTCATGTGCGCGCGCGCGTGTGTGTGGGTATTTGAGTTTGTATGTGCGCGCGTTCGTGCATGCGTGCGTCATGTGTGCGCGTGTGTGTATATGGGTGTTTGAGTTTGTATGTGCGCGCGTGCGTGCATGCGTGGCGACATGCGTTCGGGCATGCGTGAGTGTGTGTCTGTATATGCGCGTACGTGCAAGTGTGCCTGAGTGAGTGCGTGCGTGCGTCATGTGTGCGCGCGTGTGTGTATGGGTGTTTGAATTTTGTATGTGCGCGCGTGCGTGCATGCGTGCCGACATGCGTTCGGGTATGCGTGAGTGTGTGCCTGTATGTGCGCGTACGTGCAAGTGTGCGTGAGTGAGTGCGTGCGTGCGTCATGTGTGCGCGCGTGNAGAGAGAGAGAGAGTGTGTGTGTGTGTACGAAACCAAGAGAGAAAGGATTGAAAAGAACTGGACCGTACCGTCGTCTCCCATGATCCAGCGTTAACACATTCGCAAGTACAAGTGAAATTAGCTTACAGACGTCTTACGGACTCCGCCGCCGCTCTTTGTGATGTAGAGCGGAAATATAGCGCCTATAATATCGTCTGCTTAAATCTCCAGCAGAGAGAGAGAGAGAGAGAGGGAGAGAGAGANAGTGATCACTATCTGTATCTGTGTGTTATTGTTGTTATTGTTGTTGTTTACAGAAGTGCGGGAGAGACATGTGAAGCGTTCTCCCACCACAGCTCCCATCACATATATCTTTATCTGTGTGGTATTATTATTATGATTGTTATTGTTGTTGTTGTTGTTGTTTACAGAGGTGCGGGAGACGTGCGAAGCGTTCAAGTCGCCCGACAGTATACTTCGCACGGCGCTCACCACGCGGCGCGTCGAGGCTGGCGACGACGTCATCGTCATCGACTACACAGCCAGCGAGGTGCGACTCACTCACCGCCAGGGGGCGCCACCTAGTTCCCGACCCCCTCGTATAGTTTCTCTTATTCATTCTCGTATTCATTCCCTCATATTTTCCCCCACAGAGATCACGTGACTGCAGGCTTTTAATTGGTTAAATTGCGCCCCCGTAACAAACAAGCTCGTTTCTCATCTCTGTGGTGAGATTGAGTTTCTTTACTTAGGCAGGGATCTGTATACACAGACACCTACGTAGATTTGCAGGACTGTACAGACAGGAACCTGTATAAACATGCGTCTATTTAGACAGAGATCTGCATAGATAGAGGGATATATGTAGCCGGTAGGGGCGCTGCATCACCATGTGTATGCTGTCTACACACCAGAGATTCGCAGGGCGGGCGCGTGTGTATGAATAGATATCCCGTAAAACACAATAGATTAGTGCGTGCGCGTGTGCGCGTGCGTGCGTGCGTACGTACATGCGTGCGTACTTGTGTTCGTGCCTGCATACGTGCGTGCGTGCGTGCTTGCGTGCGTGCGTGCGTACGCGCGTGCGTGCGTGCTTGCGTGCGTGCGTGCGTGTGTACGTGCGTGCGTGCGTGCGTGCGCGTGTGCGCGCGTCCTACCATTCCCTCTCTCCCCTCTCCTTCTCATCTCTCATCCTCCTCATCTCCCATCTCCCATCCACCTTCCTCCTCCTCTCCCCGTTCTCCCCCTCTCCTCGCTCTTCCCCGCCCCCGTCCCTGGTCGATGGTGTGCTAGTAATTGGAAAGGCGAATTTATGTGAGGTTAATATATGTTGCATTGATTTGTTGGTTTGCCTCGGGGCCGCGCGCAGCGCTCTCGAGCGACAGACCTCACAAACTTACAACTAGAAGTGACTTTAGAAATCTTACATTGGGGGTGACAGGTCCGTATAGAACTCGTCATGTATTGTAATGCAACCCTGAATGCGATGATTGGGGCACTTGGTTACTGTGCCGCGTCTACGCTCTTCCTGTTCACGTCTATTCCCTCTCTCTCTCTCTCTCTCTCTCTGCTCCTCTCTCTCTATCTCTCTCTCTCTCTCTCTCTCTCTCTCTCCTCTCTCTCTCTCTCTCGCTCTCTCTCTCTCTCTCTCTCTCTCTCATCTTCTTCTTCCCCATCTCTCGTCTCTCTCTCCCTTGCTCTTTCCCTTGCTCCCTCTGCTCTCGCTCCTTCTCTCTTTCTCTTTCTCTTTCTCTCTCTCTCTCTTTCTCTTTCTCTCTCTCTCTCCCCCTCTCTCTATCTCTATCTTTCTCTCCCTCTCCCCCTCTCTCTCTGTCTTCCTCTCTCACGTGCGTGTGTCTCTGCATGTGATCAGGCGACTTATGCGAGGGACGCACTCTGTAAGGCGCTCTACAGTAGGCTGTTCACGTGGCTCGTGCAGCGAATCAACGAGAGCATACGGGTCGAAGATTTCGGCAAGAGAAAGTGCCTTGGCGTGCTGGACATCTACGGCTTCGAAGTGTTTGAGGTGAGAGGCGCTAGATGGCGCTGTGCGAGCAGAGTTACTAGTGCTTTTCCTAATATAAGTTTTTCCTATTATCTATATATATATAAAGTTGTTCAGCCGAATTAGTTCGTACTCGCATAACTAGAGAACTCCTAGAGGAAAACTAAAGAGATTTTTAGAATCAGCACGTCTGGGAGGTGGTTCTGGCGGAAACAAAAATGTAAAAAAGTTAAAAAGTTAAAAATTCATGAAAATTCTATTCATCAATAGATGGCGGTGCGTACAGATTAACATCACGTACGTGTGAATCCATGGGTATACCCTTAACGGCGCAGTGGTCTAATCGCTAGAACATCCGTCTCCTACACAGGGATTGCGGGTTCGAGTCACAGCTGGGGAACATATTTTCCCCTTTTTTCCTTTTTTCCCCTTTACCTACCTCTTTAGTATGTATTATTTTTAATTTTTTACTTTTTACTTTTTATTTTTTATATTTAATGTCTTTTATCTTTTGATTTCTTATTATTTTTTACTGTTTGGGATGGGATGGGATGGGATGGGATGGGATGGCATGGGATGGCATGGCATGGCATGGCATGGGATGCGGTGCGATGGGATGCGGTGCGATGGCATGGCATGGCATGTCATGAGATGGCATGGGATGGCATGAGATCGGATGGGATGGGATGGGATATGGGATGGGATGCTATGGGATGGCATGGAATGGGATGGATGGATGGATGGATGGATGGATGGATGCATGGATAGATAGATAGTTAGATTTTTGTGGGTATTTTCCTTTCAACCAAGCGGTCACCAACTGAGTAATGGATGGATGATTCGATGGATAACGTCTGATTTCCCCGGGCAACGCCGGGTATCCCGCTAGTATTATAATATAACATGAGTTTTTTCCTGTAAGCGGATGTTTATGCTAGTGGTCACTCAGGGGGTCGCGATGTGTGCATGTGTTCTTGTTGTAGCTTGAACGTGTTTTTGTTTTTGTTTTTTATTGTTCCTGGTGTTCTTATTTGTTAGTTTGTTAAGTTTGTTAGTTTTACATGTAAAGGTGACCTGGTACGAACAGCTGATGATGGTTGTTCGTTCGTTCGTTTGTTTATTTGTTTGTTTATTTGTTTACATCTGCAGGGGAATTGATACGAGCAGCTGGTGATGATTGTCGTTGTTGTTTGTTTATTTGTTTACATCTGCAGGTGAATGGATACGAGAAGCTGGTGATGATTGTCGGTGTTGTTTGTTTATTTGTTTGTTTACTTGTTTACATCTGCAGGTGAGCGGATACGAGCAGCTGGTGATGATTGTTGTTGTTGTTTGTTTATTTGTTTATTTGTTTACATCTGCAGGTGAACGGATACGAGCAGCTAGTGATTAACTATTGTAATGAGAAACTGCAGCAGTTGTTCATAGAGTTGACCTTGAAAGAGGAGCAGGATGAATACATACGGGAGGTAAGCTTTCCCTCTCCCAACTATCTCCTCCCCCTTCCCCCTCCTCCCTCCCTCCTCCCTCATCACAGCTCCTTCCTCCCTCCTTCCTCCCCCTTCCCCCTCTTCTCTCCTCCCCTTCCCCTTCTTCCCTCCCTCCTCCCCTTTCTCCTTCCTCCCTCCCTCCTCGTCCCTCCTCCTCCATCATTATCCCTCCCTCTTCCTCCTCCCTCCCTCCTCCCTTCTCCCTCCCTCCCTCCTCTCTCCTCCTCCTCACCTGAGGTCCTGCACCTCTGCCAGCAGCTTCTCGTTGAGGAAGGCGATGTCATCGCTGAGGTCCGGATCGTCCGACTTGTGATTGTCGAGCAGCGACAGCTGCTTCAGCACCTTGCCCAACACCCTCCCTCCTCCTCCTCACCTGAGGTCCTGCACCTCTGCCAGCAGCTTCTCGTTGAGGAAGGCAATGTCATCGCTGAGGTCCGGATCGTCCGACTTGTGATTGTCGAGCAGCGACAGCTGCTTCAGCACCTTGCCCAACACCCTCCCTCCTCCCTCCCTCCTCCTCCTCACCTGAGGTC